AGAATGTTTCCACAGTTTTTCCTACCAAGTAGCCAGTTTAAGATGTTAACCAAATCTCTTTTCTCACACTAATCATGAGTTACACAAACTAAATTTTCCTTACACAGGTATACCTGAGGTCCAAACCACAAACTGCATCAATAAAAAAAAAATCAAAAAAAACGTAAAAAACCCTAACATAAATCATACAAAAACATACCCAGAAACAGATGAAACAGCCACAATGCACCAATCAAGCAACCATCCAGTTCATTCAGCAAATAAAATTAAATTCATCAAACGGTAAACCAAAACATAAACCTGAGACTACAACCACTTCACTATTCAAACGTGCATTTTTGGACCACAAAACCATCACTTTCATCCCCATAGCAATTCCATAAAGGTAGCGAAAAAATATCATTCTGAGATTAAAATTTAACTCATTAAGACAATAAATCAAATCCTACACCTTGGATTACAACTTGCTCCCTACATATCCTACTACGTTACCATTCCCACATACAAATCGCACTCACACACGCATTTGCCTGGGAAAGGAAAAAAAAAAAACTAACAATCTACAAAGCTAAGCTTCGTTTCACAATTCTACGCATGCGAGAAAGTACATCATTAAGCTCAAATCCTAATACGCTTGATACCAAATTTAAATGCTACGATTAAAAAGTAAATAAATAAATCTTCTTAAGCTAGTTTATTCAAATTGAACCTCACGATACACAAAATCAACGATCCATACCCTAAAGTGATGGAGATAATGCGGAGAGTAACTAAAATCCACAGCACAGAAAAGAGAGAAATTGCGAATTGAAGTGGCTTGGTTACTGACCTGTTGCAAGTGATTTAATGGATTCTAGAGAGTTTTTTTGATTCAATTAAACCCTAGAAGGAAGCGATTTTTTTGGTAACGACGACGACGACGACGATGATTGTTTCTTGTTTGTTTTTAGAGAGAGGGAGAGATTTGGGAACTGATAAAAGAAAAGAAAATCGTATAAACAGACTTCCTGTTTTTTTTTTTTTTTTTGGGGGGGTGTGTGGTTTCTCTGACCAGGAACAACAACGAGGAAGTCAAAGGTGGTGTGTAAATATGATATATGGTATAACTGAAACGACGCCGTTGTGCGTTTAATGAAAGGGCAAAAAAAAAACAATGATATGAATTGAAAATGCAACGCTTGTTCTTTTTGTCGTTGTTGTGTTCGGTTAGTTTGTCGGAATAAGATAGATGAATATAAAAAAAATTTAATGTATATGATTAAAAACATTATAAAAATATAAAAATAAAATATTTTATAGAATAATTTTGAAATAAATTTATATATTTTAATTAATGAATACATTATCAATGTCTCAATTACATTTATTTTTTATTTGGAGATGATCAAATGATTAAAAAAATAATAAGTTTTTTTGTTTGATATTATAGTATAAAATATTTTATGAAAATTATTAAAAAATATTAATTTTAATATTTTAAAAAAAATATCTAAAATTAAAAATTATTGTGCTTTCAAACAATCTGATCCGAACACTCGAGAAGTGTTTGAGGTTTTGGTAATTATGATTTATACATCGTTGTCATCATAGGTAAGTGTTAATTGCCGACCATAATGCCTGGACAGGGAGGGGGTGGTTTTTAAATGTTCTACTGTCAGCAAGAGATCGTGTTGTTTGTTTTTACTCTTATAAATCGAGTTTAGTGGTTTTAAAAAAAAAATTATTAGAAATTAATTAATTTTAAATTATTTTAATATATAAATATTTTTAAATAATAATGATATATAAATGGTTGTAGTATTCTGTTTGTGTTTGTATTTTTAAAATATTTTTTAAATCATTTGAAAACTTTTAAATTTTTTTAAAATAATATTTTTTTAGTATTTTTATATAATTTTGATATATTAATATGAAAATTACTTTTTTAAAATAAAAAAATATATTTTTAAATTAAAAATATTTTTAAAAATAACTACAATTATACCAACAGTTACGTAGCTGTAGCGGGCCGCATTCATAACAAAACTGCAGATTAATCTGCAAGTTCTATTTTAAAGTGGGATTCAGATTTTTTTAGAAATTTTAATTAGAAAAGGCTATCTAATAACACATACTTTATAACCATTCAATTTATTTATTTATTTTATTTTCTTTGTTATATTTTTTTATTAGTTTTCACAAATATTTGAAAATGTATACAACTTAAAATCTAAATTACGTCGAGTTTTAAGTTGAATTTTAAAAAGTATTGACTTGTTGAAATTTAGTTAATATAATTTGTTTTTAATGGTTCAATTAACCCAATTAATTTTAAATCTGATCAAATCAACATTAAAAAATAAAAAAATATATTATTATTTTAATAAAAATATTAATATAAAGTGGCTTGAATTTTTTTTCAAAATCAATCCTTAAACCAAGCCTACAACTATGCAAATATAAATCAAATCTAATTTAATAACATGATAAGAATAAACTATCATTAAGAAATTCATAATAATTTCAATTTCTATGATATCTAAAATCAGAGCCCTCGTCAGAATTAACATGAATCCCTTTGATTTCAATTTTAAAGGCAAAAAAAAAAAGGAAGGAAAAAATATTAACCCTATGGATTCCATTATTCCATTTACAAAAATAGGAGGAACAGGGGGGTAAGAATGGACGCCCGGCTTTAAAGAATTTAATAAATTGTTTTGGTTCAGTATATTAATTTAAATCAAAGAATATTAGCAATTCCTTGACAGTGTGCTTTTTTTAATTAAAACATTCGAAGTGGAGGATCTCTTTTGCACGAAACAAGATCTAGTTTATAACTCCATGCCATGTCCGCATATTGATACAGGCTTGTGATATGTTTGTACTTTATTGTGAATTTATAAAAAACAACTGTTATAATTTATAATATTTTCAAGAAAATATTACAAAGATAATTTTAAAAGATATTATAAAAAATATCTGTAAAAAATATTATAACAATTAAAAATATTTTTTAAAAAAACTATAAAAATAAATTATATATTTCAATATTAAAAAAATAAATTCAAAAGCGATAATTTTAAAAAACATATGTAAAAAAATATTATAACAAACCAAAAACCACATAAAAAATACTATATTAATTGATAATGTTTCAAATAAAAAATTATAAAGCTAATTTTTTAATTATTTCAATAAAAAAAATAAAATTAGCAACTATAATTTTAAAAAAATATATAAAAAAAGAAATTTTTGAAGAAAAAAATGAAAAAAAAAGAAGAAAAGCACGTGAGGAATGGAAAAAATGTAAAAACAAAAAAAATATATGTGGAGAAAATTACAATAACTTTTCGTATATTTTAGAGTATTGTTAATATTTATTTGCGGCTCACGATATTTCTTGAGTTGACCGTGAATTGAATTAATTTTTTTAAAAATAGAAGAATATTTTTAGATATTATTAATATATTTTATTATAGAAAAAAATTATAAATGATAAATTTAATATATATTAAATAATATCTTATTTAAATATCTAGATAATGATATACAAAATAATATTTAATAAAAATATATTAAAATAATATAATATATTGAATTGATTAAAAATATCATAGTATATATATATATATATATATATATATATATATTATA